GGATATGCAGATGGTAATTTTACGTGGTAAATGCTGGTTTTCCCTCACAGCAGCAGCTATCCACAGCAGTTATCTGGGGACCTTTTCAAAAGCCAGTTTGAACATTTGTTCCTTAAAACACAGATTTTTATTAATAATGAGAACACATTAAAATTGCCAAGTTGTTGATGGGAAAACCCTCAGCAGCCTTTTAATAAACTTGAGTGAGTTATAACGTACATCTACAAAATAGAATTAGAGCTTTAACTTTTTAAAAATTGATTTTAGGTGTAAGAATTCAGTCTCATTGAAATGTAAAAATAAAAAAGGCGTGAAAAATATTCAAAGTATTCTCTTTAAAAACATCTTAAATGTTTTTTAACAAATGTTTTTAATAAAACATGCATGTCTTTTATTAATTTTGAAATATTGACAGATTTTATATATTTAAGATGTTGCAGTACAAGTTGATATGCATATACGTTGTGTAATAATTATAACCATCAAAGTAATGAACACACCTATTACCACCCGTGCTGTACATTACATTCTCAGAACTTGTTTTATCTTATGATTTAAAGTTTGTACCCTTCGACCAACATCTCCCCATTTCTCTTGTTCCCCAGCCCTGGTCACCACCATTGCACTCTTTGCATCTGTTGAGTTTGACCTTTTAAAATTCTACATATAAGTGAGAATCATACAGTATGTGTCTTTCAGTGTTTGACTTATTTTACTTAGCATAATGTCCTCCAGGTTTATTTGTTACAAATGGCAGGATTTTCTTATTTTTTTTTAATGGCTGAATAATATTCCATTGTATATATATTATAACATACATATTATATAACATATATGTATGTGTGTATATGTATATGTATGTGTGTATTGTGTATGTATGTGTATATATGTATATATAAATATGTATGTATGTATATATATGTGTACATATATACAATGGAATATTATAAATCACATTTTCTTTATTCGTCTGTTGATAGACACTTAGATTAGAGGTGGAGATATCTCTGAGATACTGATTTCTTTCTTTTTGGATACATAATGAAAGTGGGATTGCTGAATCATATGGTTTGTCTATTTTACATTTTTGAGGAACTTCCATACTGCTTTCTGTATGGCTGTCCCAGTTTACATTCCTATCAACAATGTACAGAAGTTCTTTTTTCTCCATACCCTTGCCTTATTATCTCTTGTCTTTTTGATAATGGCCATTCTAATAGGCATGAGGTGATATTTCATTGCGCTTTTGATTTGCATTTCCCTGGTGATTAGTGACGTTGAGCACCTTTTCATATTCTTCTTGGCCATTTATATGTCTTCTTTGGAAAAATTTCTACTTCGATCCTTCCCATTTTAAAATCTTTTTTTTTTTTTTTTTTTTTTTTTTTGCTGTTGAGTTGTGTGAGTTATATATTTTGGATCTTAACCCCTTAGCAGATACATGATTTGCAAATACTTTCTCCCATTCCACAGGTTGCCATAGAAGTACCCACTGCTCTGGATGCCTCTCATTTCATTGCTTCCTTTGCTCTGAGGAAGCTTTTTAGTGTGATGTAGTTCTGCTTGTTCATTGTTTCTTGCTTACCTGTGCTTTTGGTGTTATATCCAAATAATTGGTGCCAAACCAAATATCAAGAAGCTTTTCCCCTACATTTTCTTCTAGGAGTTTTATGGTATCAGATTTTTACATTTAAGTTTTAAATCTATTTTGAGTTAATTTTTGCATATGGTATAAAATAAGGATCCAATTTTATTCTTTTGCATTTAGATATCCAGTTTTCCTGACACTATTTACTAAAGAGAATTTCCTGTCCCTATTGTACAATCTTGTCATCTTTTTCAAAGATCAGTTGACTATATATGCATAGATTTATTCCTGGGCTCTCTATTCTGTTTCATTGGTCTATGTATCTGTTGTTTTATGCCAGTAACATGCTGTTTTGACTACTACAGTTTTGTAATATAGTTGACATCAGGAAGTATGATGTCTCCAGCTTTGCTTTTTGTCAAGATTGTTTTTGGCTATTCAGGGTCTGTTGTGGTTTTATACAAATTTCAAGATTGTTTGTTCTATTTCTATGAAAAATGCTGTTGGGGTTTTGGTAGCAATTGTGTTTAATCTGTAGATTACTTCGGGAAGAATGGACATGCTAACAATATTAATGCTTTTAATCCCCAAACGTGATATATCCCTCAATTTATTTGTCTTCTACAATTTCTTTCACCACTAGATTAAATTTATTCCTAAGTACCTAAGTATTTTATTTTATTTTTGTTGCTTTTGTAAATGGAATAGTTGTTTTAATTTCTTTTTTGGAGAGCTCACTGTTAGTGTATAGAAATGCGACTTAGTTTTGCATGTTGTTTTGTGTACTGCAACTTTATTGAACTCATTTATTATAACCTTCTGTTGAGGTGCAATTCTTTAGGCTTTTCTATATATAAGATTATGTCATCAGCAAAAAAAGACAAATTAACTTTTTCTTTTCCAAATTGGATGCTTTTTATTTCCTTTTTCTTGTCTAGTTGCTCCGGCTAGAACTTCTGGTACTATGTTGAATAAAAGTGGCAAGAATGGGTGCCCATTTAAGGGATTTTTGATCCATCTTGTTTGTCCCCCTCTGCCCCGTTGGATCTATGATGGCTTCTCCCAGAATAGTCCAGGAGGGTGAAATGAGTACCTTTTGTAGAAACATCATTGTGTATAAAATACTATACAAGAGTTGAAGGGACAAAGGAAAAAGTGTGATATAGCAAGCTACTTCAGGAAGCTATCCAACAGAAAACCTTTTGTGTATTCATAGTATACATTTAAAAGAGGTCCATCAAGATCTTGTATGTAATGGTAGAAAATTAGAACCGTTGTGTGCAATGAGATTAAAAAAATTAGCATTCTAATGTCTTTTTGAAGGGGGTTGATCAAATACGTTTGGTAGATCCATACAATGTGATAGTAGAATGTCATTAAAATAAAAGGTAGGTCTTGAAGAAGACCATGAGAAAACACATGCGTTAATGTGAAGAACCCATGCTTCTGAGCAGTACCTTTCACCATTGTGTCTCAAGCGTCTGCTGAGACACTCATCTGTCTGGTTTATCTCTCTCTGATGACTTCTCCTGAGCTGTCTGTATTATATTTTGTCCCTAGTGCTGTTTGTCAGTCAATAGTGCTATTTGCTAAATATGTCCAGTTCTCACTCTTTGGGTGCAAGGTAGGATTTGGCCTTGTTACTATTACATGAAGCTGATACAGAAAGGCTGGGCTCCTGACTAAACCCCACCGTCAAGCCTCGAACCTCAGTCCTAAGTGAAAACAGCTGACCCTGCTACAGAAAGGTTGGGCTCCAGGCTAAACTCCATCCTCAAGCCTGGAACCTCAGCTCTAAGGGAAGACAGCTTACTCTGTTTTTCCCCCCAACTGATTGTCTGTTTGGTCTGCCACACCCCTATCCTGTGCCCATAAAAAGACTTCAGCTAGCAGAGTAACAAAAAGTGGCTGACGAAAGTGGTCAGGGATACAGGCTGCTGAGCATTGAAGATGATGGATAGACATGGCTAACTTCTGACAGTGCAGCTTCAGGTAAAGATGACCTTCCTGCCGCACCATCTCCTTTCCAATTCCCCATCCCTCTCAGAGCCACTTATATTGCCTGGTAAAATCCTCTGCACTCACCTTCAAATAGTTCATGGGACCTGATTCTTCATGAACATGGAACAAGAACTCAGGTGTCAAAAGGGGCAGGTGCAGGAGGCTGTCACCCTGACCCTTCACGGAGCTGTTAACACTTAGCCATCCATGGACTAAACATTTAGTTGCAAGTGACACCCTCAAGAGCTCTTTCTCTCTACACAGTAAGTGGCAATGTTCAAGATGGCAGCTATTTAATCAGCTTGGGTCTCTGAGGGATTACAGTGAACAGAGTTGTACCACCCACTCATGATGTACATGTAACACAGGTATGAAATACTTTTGTTTTAAGCCACTGAAATTTTGGGATTGTTGCAACATAACTTAGCCTATTCTGACCGGCAATGTCTATGCTACATTCCTTTATCATGTCCATTTATTCTTTTTTTTTTTGGATGAAGTCTTACTCTGTTGCCCAGCCTGGAGTGCAATGACATGATGTTGGCTCACAGCACCCTCCGCCTCCTGGGTTCAAGTGATTCTCCTGCCTCAGTCCGGAGTAGCTGGGATTACAGGGACTCATTACCATGACCGGCAAAGTTTTGTATTTTTAGTAGAGATGGGATTTTACCATGTTGGTCAGGCTAGTCTCGAACTCCTGACCTCAGGTGATCCACCCACCTTGGCATCCCAAAGTGTTGGAATTACAGGCATGAACCACTGCACCTGGCCCCATTTATTCCTTTTGTAAGGCCTCTTCAGATTTGCTGGTTCCCTTTATTTCTCTCCTAATTTCTATGTCTCTTTTGAAGGCATAAGAAAATTCATGTCCTTCCACACCCTTATGTCTTCTGTAGTCTATAGCTCACATGCCTTGGTAGCATGCAAAATACTGCAAAATTGCAGTCTCCCAGGATTCCAAGCATAAAGTGGGGCATAGATCCCAAATTCCCAGACTTAACTGGTATGTGTGTGTGTGTGTGTCTATTGTTCCTTCACTTTTAAACTACAGCAGGAGGGACTGAATGCAGTGTTGCTTCCCAGAGATGGGGAATCCAAGGCCTATGAAACTCAAGTGCCTCCCCCAAGTTATACACCAATAAGTTGCAGAACTGGGACTCAAACTCTTCAGAAGCTTCCATATTTCTTGCACCCTTTCTAACTCCTCTCCCTGCCCTCAGCACAGAGAAGTTTTTCTTCTCTCTTTCTGTCAGTAAAAAAAAAATAGTCGAGCAACATGCCCCTCCCCAAACCCTTGTTCATGTCAGGATCTGTGCTTTCAGAAGGTTAAAGGTGACCTTTATTTCTCTTATTGTTCTGTGACTGTCCTTCCCTTAGCGAATAAAGGTTAAGGTCTTGTTTGAACAGAAGAGTAAAAAAGGGAAAAACATCAACCTTCTGACACAGAGAAACAAAAATAAAATGCAACAGTCCACTGATTAATTCTTCAACATTTTATCGTGCCATAGAATGGGCAAATAAAATGATTCGTCCTGCTTGGCTGGGTCTTGGCTCTCTTCCCTGTCTCAGTGGTTGCTCCTTCTCAATCTCTTCCAGTCATTATTCTCCACAACCTCTTCTTGGAGTGCCTCTTATCAACCTCTACTTCTCCTCTAGGGATTCTTGTTCAATCTCAGGACCTCACCTCTGAAGTCTTCTATTTGGCATCCTCCATCTGGCTGTCTAGCAGACCTCTCAAACCCAACGTGTACAAAGTGAACTGTTGATCTTCCTTCCATAAGCTGCGACACTTACATATCCCCGAATCTTCCAGTTGCTTTAGCCATGAACATTGGTATCATCTGTTATTTCTTTCTTTATGTTGTATCCTACATTCAAAACATGAATAAATCTTGATGATACTACTTTTGAAACATATCCAGAATCTGACCACTTCTCACCACTTCCACTCCAACCACTCTGGTCCAAGCTGTTGTCGTTTCTTACCTACATTATTGTGAAAACCTATCAATTCATCTCTCTGCTTCCAGTCTTGCTTACCTTAAAGAGTGTATTTTCAAACAGCAGCTAGAGTTGTCCTGTTGAAACGTATAAGTTAGATTGTGTCACATTTCTGCTCAAAATTTCCCATCGACACCCCATCTGACTCAGTGGAAGCTCAAGTTTTTACAACATTTCACAAGGGCTTACCTAATCCACACTCCTATTTCCCGACTTTCTTTTCTTCTGCTTTTCTGTCCTATCATTCTGCTCTAGACATCTGTGTTCCTCACAATACCAGTCATACCTGGAATGCTGTTCTCTCAGAAATCTGCAAGGCTCACTCCTTCTTTTCTGCTAAGTCTTTGCTGAAATGAGACCTACCTTGACCTTTCCACTTAAAATTACAAATCCTTCCGGATTGCCTTCATCACTCCTGTTATTTCCCATAGCACTTATCACCGTCTAATATACCACATGATTCATTATTAAATTTATTGTGTGTTTTGTTTTTTTTTTAAGATGGAGTCTTGCTCTGTTGCCCAGGCTGGAGTGCAGTGATGCAATCTTGGCTCACCACAACCTCTGCCTCCTGGGTTCAAGCGATTCTCCTACCTCAGCCTCCTGAGTAGCTGGGATTACAGGAGTACACCACCATGCCCAGCTAACTTTTTTTGTATTTTTAGTAGAGACAGGGTTTCACCATGTTGGTCAGGCTGGTCTTGAACTCCTGACCTTGTGATCCACCTGCCTTGACCTCCCAAAGTGCTGGGATTACAGGCGTGAGCCACCATGCCTGGCCTATATTTATTGTTTACTATTGGTCTCCCAGAGTAGAATGTATGCTCCATGGAAACAGGTAATTTTGTCTTTTTTGTTCATTGTTGTTTCCATATACCTGGAATCCTGCTACACATAAAAGATGGTCAATAATGATTGTAGGGTGATAAATGAACCAATCATCTAGGCTTGTCATTGTTCTTTGATACTTTTATTATTATAAAAATATTTCTCTCCCTCTCTTTTTTTAATTGAGACAGAGTCTCACTCTGTCACCCACGTTGGAGTGCAGTGGCTCACTGTAACCTCTACCTCCCGGGTTCCAGCGATTCTCCTGTCTCAGCCTCCCGAGAACTGGGATTACAGGCATGCACCACCATGCCCAGCTAACGTTTGTATTTTTAATAGAAATGGAGTTTTGCCATGTTGGTTAGGCTGGTGTCATACTCCTGACTTCAAGTGATCTGCCCACCTCAGCCTTCCAACGTGCTGGGATTACAGGCATGAGCCACCGCACCTGCCCAGCCTTCTTTTCTTAATATTTTCTGCTAGGTTAATTCTAGCCAAACTCTGTTAGAACTGGCCTTCCCTCCTTAGGAGACTTCTGTTTTCTTATATCCCAATAATCTAGAGCTATGCTTCTCAAACTTTAATGTATCCACATCCTACCTGCATATTTGTTAAAATGCAAATTCTGATTCAGTAGGTCTGGGTGAGGCCCCAAATTCTGCATTTCCAACAAGCAACACCATTACTGCTGCTCTGTGGGCCACACTTTGAGTATCAAGGAGACGACTGTTTAAAATCTCTGTCTTGGCACTTTTCTTCATGTTTCTGGAAGCCTGGTTTGAATAGGGAGGGCTCTTGCCACCAGCTGTATCCATGGCATTAAACGTTGGTATAATTCTCTGTCATCTTTTCCCTCCAATTTTATATTTGAATTTTGTTTTTGGTTCTTCTCCCTGTTGCTCCTCTGGCTGTCAGGAGCTGGGATTGTGTCACTGAAAAAGGGTTGCACGTGTAATTCGTTATGATAATGAAATCTTTCATTATTGTGCAATAAGAGTGGGCATGCCTGGTTTTATTCTGGGATAGCAGCATGGAAGGAACTATTTAAATTAGTAAAAAATATTAGCAGCAAAACATATAAGTAATACAGGGTTGCTGGTGAGCAAAATCCCATCGTGTGTGGCACATGTGTCTGTGCATGTTATGCCAGACAATGACAACTAGCAATTGTTCCCAGTGCTGATTTGCTGGTTGTCACCCATGATGATTTCTGTCTGCTAGTAAGGTGGGTGTGGAAGGGGGAGTAATTAGAACCATTACGCTTTTCAAAGATCACTTTTGCTATAGTGCTGAGAAAGGTCTTGGAGGTCTGGCAGGGATAGTAGATAAGCATAGTAGCTAGGGACCTTGAGTTGATCATCGAAACTCCCATTAGTGCAAGGGGTGGAACTTTCCTTAATAGAAATTACTGTAAATGGATATAGGAGTCATGGGGGCAATTGACTAACCAAGGCATAAGCATGTTTGCGGAAAGGAAAAGCCACAAAACAGTATGGCTTCACCCATTAGCCCCAAAATAGAAGTGAGTGGCAATTGCTGGCAATCTATCTTGGGCCAAGAGTACAGCTCTTTAGAATGTCAAATTGCTTGGAAATTATAACAAGGATGCTAATGCTCATTGAATGTGGTGGACTGTGTCTTTTATGAGTTGGGTGATTTCCAAGAAATTATAGTTTATTTATCTTCAGCTTTCTATGGTTGAACTGCCTTGGTGACATACCTTGGGGGTAGCTGTCTTTTAGAGCTCCTTTGAGAATGCTCTGCTATTCTTTTTACTGCTGGGTTTGAAACTTGACTCAGCTTGATGACCTGGAATTTTACAATGTAAACAATAGTGCTACCCAATTGTGTCTCAATAACCTTCTGATGGAGAAGTAGATAGAATGTTCTTTCAGGAAATCAACTTTATGAAACTCAGCTCTATGCTCAAATGTGGTTCCCAGGTCCCTTGGGTTGTGTCTGTCTTTCAGTGGAAGCCAGGTGCTCTGATTCTTGTCCTTGTTGGTGGAGGTGACTTTGATAAAGTTCTCTATCCTTGCTGAGCCAGTCACGTTTCTCCTGAAAATGGGAAAATTATACCTACTATGTTCTGCTAGCTTTGAGGATTAGGCATCACCATTTTTGGAAAGCAGGGGCTTGGGGTTTGAACACAAAGCATTGATTTGGCATCATCCCATAAAAACACCATATTTTGAACTTTTAGACCTTTTTGCCACCATGAAAAAAATCCCATCCCCAGACCAGCAACCCTGCATTAAGCAGCAGGCTTTGTGCACCGGACCCTGTACAACTCGAGCTCTTTAAATATTGGCAGTTGGAACCCAGATGTGGCAGGCCTCCTGGGGCTGGTTGGTGCTCAGACCGTTCCCTAACATCTTTGGGACATGAACAAGAATGGATTTTTACTGAAGATTTCAAGAGAAAACAGAGAATATGGTTGGCATCATAGACCACACAATAGAAAACTAATAAATCTCTCATCCCTGTCTGTCCTCTGCCAGCCACCTGTCTCTTACTCCAAATAGCCTCTCAACACTCTTGTATTGTCTAGGCTATTTAGCTTGTGTCTGTAAATTATATACTCATTCAGCTAAACCAAGTCCTGGAATTAGCCCTAGAGTGATCATTGAGTGCCTCCTGGAAATCTCCCCATCGAAGCTTCTGATTTAGTTACTCACCCAATTAAAACTTTATAGAGGGTGTGTGGGTTCACCTACTAAGTAAAGATTTACTCTGCATTTTTATACACCCTATCCATTTTTTCAAAGGACTGTGAACCTTTTTAAGCACTCCAGGTCTACGTGAAAACAAACCTGGATTGCATAGCCTATTACCAGGCATCCTTCAGTTCGTGACTGATCATCCTGTTGCCTTCTGGTCTCTCCCTCAAGAGAGTCCTTCAGTCACCCTGAAGTAGGGAAAATGGTTTTGCATTCACCTCACCTTTCTTCAACATCTTGGTAGCCCCCTTCTGTTCCCCTGCTGAGCCACATCAGCTAGTCTTGTTCTTCCTGAAACAGTCTCTCAGATTCTCTCCCTCTCCAGGAGTTCTTCACCACCCACCCCTCCCCATTTCTGTGACACTTGAAAGGTGATAATGAATGACAATGATGTAATGTGTCATGGCTGCAAGGCTATTTGCATTCAAATAGGGACTCTGGCAGTTACAGGATCTGAACCCAAAAGAATGACTCTTTCTTAGGGATAATTGCAGTCTTTGGGGCAGGCCAATGAGGCCAGTGTTTGGCCATGTCTAACCAACATTATATATGGATGCCCCTGTGCCTCAGTGAATGCTAGATGCACTGCATGAGATGGGTGGATGAGGGAGAAATGAAAAAACACATTTGACATTACAATATGATTCTATGTTAAATGGCTTGTGTGAACTGCTCTACAATCACAGGGTACAAATATCACATCTCTTTGACTACCTTGTCCGTTGCTGTATCCCTAATGTTTTAAACGGTGCCTGGCACATAGTGAATGCTCAATAAGTATTTGGGAAAAGGATGGATGGATGGACAAATGAATGATTTAGTATTCCAATAGATGGCTTAATCTCTTCCTCACAAACAGGGATTCCAAATATCCTCTTGAGACTTCCAGTCCTGAAAATATCTATGAATTTCAGGATATTTTCTTAATCTCAAAAAACAGAGTAGGGCAGCCAGTCTTCTTTTGATACCAGGGCCATCTGGGGAGAAATCCCTATGCTGTTTCTTTCTTGCTGCCAGAGGGTGTCACTGGTGAAGCTGAATTCTCTACAGTCTCATGGGCCCGTTCACCTGAGAGGACCCCTTCCCTGGCAGAAACTGTATCCATCCCTGCAAGGACCACAGTGGTTCTCCAGGGAGGACGTTCCACTTCTTCGGGCTAGACTGGGCTGTGAGCACTGAGAGATCTGGCTGCCAAGACATCAGATTTGAGCCTCTCCTTGAGTTCAGGTGCACAGCCACATCCCAGGGCACAGGCCAGCCCTAGGAGACTGGTGCAAGACTGGTCTCAGCTTCCTGCACTCACAAATCCAGAATGCTTGACCCTCTTTCTGGAGATGCTTCTACCAAGAAAGTCTATTTCAGGGGTTCCTAGGACCACTGTCAACCCCTACCCATGGTGTGGCATGGCTAGAAACTCTTTTGCTAGATAGAAGCAGTAGTGGTAATAGTAGCAGCGGTAGTGATACCAATTATGTTATGTCGGGCACCATACAAAAATGTAATCCTTACAGTGATCTCATGATGCAGCTGTTCTCACTATCCTCACTATAAAGAAATCTGAGCACAAAGAAGTTATTTGCTCAGCGTTTCCACTGTACTGAAGAGTGTCAAAAAGATTAAGATACAAGATGTATGTCTTCATAATTATTTTCACAGCAAACCTATGAGACAGATACTAGTAATGGTTCCATTTAACAGATGAAGAAACTGAAGCTTAGACACTCTCCGATGGTTTGAAGCACTGTAGAAAACGGGGTTCTGCTCTTGCACAACATAGAAGAATCGTGTGGTTGATTCGTACCCTTGGTAGCAAGGAACCCATAGGCTCTGGCCCTGGGGTTCCTGCTCTTAGATGTGTCCTCAGTGTTTATTAATTGATCTTACACTAATGCATTGATGCAGATGCCCCCATTTGAGACCATTCCTCTGAACCTTGCCTTAGAAGTATCACTAGGTAGAAAAGATTCCACTAAAACCCCCATAAAAACAATAACAAAAATATCTTTCCAACCCTACTAAGGTCAAATATGAATATAACAGACCTTAGAGCACCGTGAGGGAAAAGGCCGTAAAAAGATTTGAGGTCCAGCCTGTTCCTTAATTCAAAACTGAATTCTCCCTCCTATACCTATAATTTTAATTTAATTTAAAACTGAGCCAAGTTTTTGGGGACAAAGTGAGACAATTTCTTTCTTTAAAAGAGAAGGGGCATTTAGGAGAAAAGTCATTTTTTTTTTTTTTTAAAGACAGTCTTGCTCTGTCAGCAGTCTGGAGTGCAGTGGCATGATCTTGGCTCACTGCAACCTCTGCCTCCCCAGTTCAAGCAATTTCCCCTACCTCAGCCTTCTGTGTAGCTGGGACTACAGGTGCTCGTCACCATGCCTGGCTAATTTTTTTTATTTTAGTAGAGATGGGGTTTCACCATATTGGGCAGGATGGTCTCGATCTCCTGACCTAGTGATCTGCCCACCTCGGCTTTAGATTCAGGGAGTAAATACGCAGGTTTGTCACAGGGGTAGATTGCATAATGCTGAGGTTTGGACTTCCATTGATCTCTTCACCCAGATAGTGAACATAGTACCCAATAGGAAGTTTTCAACCCTTACCCCTCTCCCTCCCTCCCTCCTTTTGGAGTCCCCACTGTCTATAGTTCCCATCTTTATGTTTGCGTGTACTCAAGGTTTAGCTCCCACTTATTAAGTGAGAACGTGTGATATTTGACTTTCTGTTTCTGCATTAATTCACTTGGAATAATGGCCTCCAACTGCATCTATGTTACTGCAAAGGACATGATTTTGTTCTTTTTTATGGCCAAGTAGTATTCTATGGTATGTATGTACTACTTTATCCAATCCACCGTTGATGGACACCCAAATTGGTTTCATGTCTTTGCTGTTGTGGATAGCGCTGCAATGAACGTGAGTGCACGTGTCTTTCTCTTTGTTTGTTTTGTTTGGAGACAGGGTCTTGTTCTGTCACCCAGACTGGAGTGCAATGGCGAGGTCATAGCTCGCTGTAGCCTCGATCTCCTGGGCTCAGGTGATCCTCCAGATTCAACCTTTCTGGTTGCTGGGACTACAAGCATGCACCACCACGCCTGAGTATTCTTTTTTTAATTTTTATTTTTAGTAGAGGAGAAGTCTCACTGAGTTGCCCAGGCTGGTCTTGAACTCCTGAGCTCAAGTGATCCTCTTGCCTAGGCATCCCAAAGTGTTGGGATTACAGGCATGAGCCACTGTGCCCAGCCTCATATGTCTTTTGGTAGAACAACTTACTTTTCTTTGGGTATATACCCAGGGATAGGGTTGCTGCGTTGAATGGTAGTTCTGTTTTTAGTTCTTTGAGAAGTAGGAGAAAAGTCTTGAAGGGCACCTTCAAAGCTTTGCTTCTGAAGGGCCTATGAACAGCAAAAGTGTGTGTGGTACTTCTAGGCCTTTATAAAAATAATATCCCTCTTTGGGAAGCATAAAAAAAACTCCTACCACCAGTTTCTCACCCAGTGATGCTGTATGCTGGGAATCATACCCTTTTTAAGAGGAGATTCATTTTTTCTGCATCTTTGGAAACCAAGAAGATTGAGTTAAGTTTTACTGTCAGAAATGTTTCTTGGCAAAGCAGATATGCTTTTATTTTCTAAACAAAGTGTATTAACCAGTCAGAGAGATTAATTTAACGCTAGTGATTAAACTTGGATTTTTTTTTTGAAGAACCCTTGTAAGATTGCAAAGAATAACATAAGAGTTTTGCTTAGTGCTTGGCAGGTTGTAAGCCTTTGATAAGTACGAGGCAGTACTATTGTTATTGCTGCTGTTATTATTATTAGTGGTGGAGGTTCTTGGCTGGCAACGCAATCCTAGCTGCAGATCTTTACTGTGGGGAAGAAACAGCATTTAGTGATAATGCATATAAAGTGCTTTGTATAGTCTCTGGCACAAAGTAAGCGTTTAGTAAACTCACAGCAAGTTTCTAAAGTATAAATTTATTAGGGTACATTAAGTTGCTGTAACAGAGACACAAACTTAGTGACTCAAAGGAAAATAAATGTATTTCTCACTTACATTACAATACCACATTGATATAGTTTGGATGTTTTGTCCCTTCCAAATCTTACGTGAACTGTGATCCCCAGTGTTGGAGGTTGGGCCTGGTGGGAGGTGTTCGAGTCATGGAGTGGATCCCTCATAGTTGGTTTGTGCCATCCCCATGGTAATGAGTGAGTTCGCTCTGAGTTCACACTAGCTATTGTTGTTTAAAGGGCCTCACACCTCCTGTCTGCTCTCTTACTCCCTCTCTCGCTCTGTGATGCACCTCTTCCCCCTTTGCCTTCCAGTATGATTGGAAGCTTCCTGAGGCTCTCACCGGGAGCAGATGCTGGAGCCATGCTTGTACAGCCTGCAGAACAGTGAGCCAATGAAGCCTCTTTTCTTTATAAATTGCCTAGTCTCAGGTATTCCTTTATAGTAATGCACAATGGGCTGACATACATGTGAATGTTCCAAGTTAGAGAAAACTTTCAGACAATTTAGTTGTGAGCGTGTACTAAAGTTTTAGTATGATCATGTGTAGAAGGGAAATGGACCTGAGAAGGCCACTTCCTCAATTCACTTTTGGCAGGGACATTTTATAGGAAAAGAGAATGGTTAGATAATCATTGTTAGACTAGACACAGAAAGAAAAGAAAGTCTGGTTTAAAGGTCACTAGGCTCTTGATTGACAGTTGGCCACTGAGTGTGGGTAATTGGGCATGTAGGTAATTGGTTTTCCAGAGCAAACCTTAATCCCATTGAAGTTCACAGAAAATTGCTTAAGCATTTTATCAGGAATGTTAACTTCTCACAAGAAGGTTATAAAGCAAAAAGATTTTTCTCTTCCAGGTCAAGTTTGCAACAATTTTTATTATGTTTTATGATGTTGCAAACCTGCCCTGCCCTGGATCACTCTGCCCCATTCAGTAATTCAGGACCCTGGTTGATGGCAGCTTAGCCATTTTAAGTATTGGCTTCGATGTCCTTCTCGTCACTGTCAGCAGCCAGTGAGAAGGGGAAAAAGAACAGGTCTAGCAGCAGAGATTTCTTCTTAAGCAAGTGAACCAGAGCTTATACTTCTGCTCATATATCATGGAGAACTTAGTTATGTGGCCAAACAAGCTGCACAGAGGGCTGAGAAATGCAATTCCTGGCTGGGCATCCAAGTCCTAGCTGCAGAGCTTTTACTATATGCAAGGAATAGAGTTGGGAACAGCCAGTGGTCTCTGCCACAGCAAGGGTGTGTGCAGCCTTTTTGCTTCTGCTGCCCTCCTATAGCAGGGGTTGGCAAACCACGGCCTGCAGGCTAAGTCTTCTTCACAACCTGTTTTGTAAATAAAG